AAGTATTATATTGGGGTCTATAGTATCCAAACATGCAGGGGCTGGTAGGATAACCAGTTGAAATACAGAGGAAAAGTGACACTGATGTGCTCTTCCCAAATATATGTATGTACAGCACTACTATTCCACTAAAGACTCAGGGATCAAAGCAGAAGAGGTAGGGAAAGATGGAAAGAGTTGGGAGACCATGGAAGCTGCTGAGATTTTATTATATAGAAATGACAAAGAAGCTTCAACAAAGATACCCCAACAATACAGCAGCCTCAACAGAACCTGAATATATTCAACACTAATAGGTATGCTAAAACAGAAGTGGGTAAGTTTTATGTAGCCCAAACATAAACAAAGAAGTAGCGGAAACTAAGGAAAGCTGAGAGAGTAAGAAATAATACTTCCCAGGATCAACCCCCTTAATTGGTTAGCTGCTAGCAAATGATCATCAATGAAATCAAATACAAGCAACAATAAATTGACTCATTCAGCTTTATTTATATATTAAGGCATATGTGTCTGTATTCAAATACATACATACATGCATGCATGCGTGTATACATACATACATACACAAACACACTCATATAGATAGTAAAAGATCATAAATTTTAGAAGGAGTAATAAGAATAGTGAGTAGATGAGAGGGGCTGTAGGGAGGAAAGGTAAGGAAGAAACTAATGTAATTATATTTTATTTTTATAATTAAGAGTAAATAGTGGCAAGAAACAAAATATAATGGTACAATAATCCATATGAATATTTTGGCTTTCTGAAATCATATTTGAGAAAGACAATGTTTTATGCAAAAATAAATTTCGATTAAGATAAAAAAGAACTCTCTTGAAATTTTAAGGATACCAAAGTAATTTAAATAAAATATACTTGTGCAATTACCTCAAAAACTACATCCACAGTCATCTAAGCCACTGATAAATAATATAAGAAAAGTGATAGAAGAGTGTCATTAAGAATTCTTGAATTATGTAAAAAGTAATGAAAGACAGTGATCAAAAAAATAGCAAGGTTATCAGCTTGCTTGTTTAGCAAAATAATTTAAGTAACATTTGCTTTTTCAAAAAATTGATTAAAAAGTAATACTTGAATCAAAAATGGTTGTTGCACATAGAGTATTAGAATTAAACATTAATAGTTGTCTTTAGAAGAATTAGCAAATATATTCATGGAGCTTGCTACTTTGACTCTACCAATAAAGCTTTCTCTAAATTTCTGATTTCAATTGCCTCTCTTGTTGGACTATAGGGTTTGCAGATTCATGGATTATTCAGAATGCAGTGTTCTGAAGCTTTCTGACTTGAGTTTTTAGAAATTTAGTAAGTATGCAGACATGTAGATAAAAAACTAATAATTCCCTGGGCATTGGTGGCACACACCTTTAATCCCAGCACTTGGGAGGCAGAGGCAGGTGGATCACTGTGAGTTCGAGGCCAGCCTGGTCTCTAGAATGAGTGCCAGGATAGGTTCCAAAGCTACACAGAGAAACCCTGTCTCAAAAAACAAATAAACAAAGAAAAACTAATAATTCAAAGACAATTTCTATCACTGCTTCATAACTTCCTGGACATAAGTATGTTGCAGGCCACAAAATGAATGGGTGCTTGGTAAGCACCTGTTAAATATGTCATGCACAGGTCCATGCAGATATTCCAGAGATGTATACATAACTTGATTGTCAATAAGTCATGAATTTTAATTTATTTTGAAAGTAAATTTTGGATGATAAAATTAATTTTAAAATGGGATTGTACACAATGTAGAATAAATGAAAGTCTTGATTTGTTTTCTTAATTATCCATATTGATGGGATTTTGTTGCTATTTTGTTGACTTAAGATTCCAGTGACCATTCAAAATAAGATATTAGAGACAAGATCTGAAAAAAATTACAGGTGTTCTTGATTAAATCTCTTTAACTCGGTGTATTAAAATTAAATTATAGGTTGAGGAATTTCTAGGGACAAAGTTTTTCTAAAATGACAGATTTTAGAGTTGACAATTAGGAAAAACTTTGTTTACTTGAGGAATCCCTACATAAGTGTGCTGTATTAATAGGATTTCTAACTTCCTTCTGTCTCCCACTTCTCCCTTGTGCCCCAGTTAACTCTTCTTATAACCCATGGCTTCTTCATTTATTAATATAATATGTGTATTTGTGCATTTGTGCAACATACTCAGAAAATTACTGTCATCCTTATTTAGGTGATTTTAGGGTTGACTACTTAGAATTGAGATTTCATCTCAGAAAAACAAAACAAAACTACAACAAAAAGAAAAGAGAACACAAAACGCCAATTCCCCTCCTTCATTGACTGCTTCTAACTCTTCCTCTGAAGGAGTACCCTTGCTTCTTATTACTTTTTAGTTCTATATACTGAAAGGTATTTTAATATAGTGATTATTATTAAGTAAAATTTTTTAAAAGAATTATCACAGGAGTTTAATGTTAGATTGTTATGATAAATCTTTCTGCCAAAAGCTGCCTGAGCCCCAGCGCAACGTGTGAGCTTTACGCCAGCTGCCACCTGAGTTAGGGCCCAAATGAATACACAAAACTTGTATTAGGTTCAAAGCTGCTTGGCCAATGACCAGCATTCCTCATCTGTTAGCTCAGTCTTAACTATCATAAACCTATATATTTTATAAGATTTATCTTATTGGACGCCTTATTGGCATCCCTCCTTGCTGGTGGATCACATCGTACTGCTGGAGCAGGAGCGGAGGGAAAAAGTGGTATGTTTCCTCTTTCTCCTTCTTTAAATATGAGGCTCCTTACTATGTCACTTCCTGCCTGGATCACCACTTCTCTACTATATTTCCCAGAATCCTCTTTGACTCCTAGTCCTGCCTAACTTGCCGTTCCATTGGCCAAACAAAACTTTATTAAACAATCAATAAGATAAACATACACAGAAGTACTTCCCTCATCATCTCCTCTTTTCTATCTAAAATAAAAGGATAACTTATCTTTTATAATAACTGAACAAACTATAAACTTAACTATCTATCTTCAACTCTATCAAGGACCACAGAAGGAAAATATATAAACTCTAGAATTGACAGGACATCTTGCAACCTGGACAGTCAGCCAAAGTTCCTCTGTAATGTTGGGGCATCCATCTTCAGCCCATAGACCACAGTGTGTCTAGCATACTTCTCCATTTTAACAAGAACTCTTCAGTGCTGTCTTGTTTTGTAAGTTCAGCGGTCACTTTCTTGTGGGTTCTGCATTAGATTAATTAAAACTAAAACAATATATTTTAGTAAAGTTAATTGCTTTTATTATAAATCTAGGTAAGTGCATTCATAATCATTGACTAATTTTTATAGTGTAATGGTTAAGGTATCAAAATTCATAGACATTGTACTGTGAACTAATATAAAATAAATTCACACTATCCTATGTGAAATAGAAATTGTGCAGAGAAAACTACCTTTTTATACAAATTATAATAATTGATAATAACTGCTATAGAAGTCAAAACATGCTAAGAAATAATGGAAGATCTATACAGAGGTTGGTTAGATAAATTTAAATTACGTCTGTAGAGATGCCTACTCGGGAAACAATGTACTAAACTCCATGAAATTTAAATAATAGGAACTAAACCAATTATGTATTCTAGCATTTTTATGTTGTGATAAGTAAATCCTTGAACTTTTGTGTGAGAGAACAGCATATAAGAATGTACTGATCAAAACAATGGAGATCTTGGGAAATAGCAATTAAGGAACCTGCTGGAATTTCCATAACCAAGCACCCAAATGTTTAAAAAAGAAACAGGGAGCTTGACACCCATGAACATCCATGACAACACAACTAAGTCTGGGGCTTAGGTAGTGTATAGACACACATTGGGATGCAAGTATTGAGAAAACTGATCCAGGAACTTAAGCAGATCTAAACAAATTCTTAGGCTACACATAGAATAAATAACACAAGTCAAAAACTCTATGGGAAAAAAGAGATTTAAATAGAACCTCTAGCCAATCACTCCTAGAAAGGGAGTCATGTTGACTCAGGAACAATTCTTAAGAAACCAGGCATAAGAATAAAACTAAACTGGATTTCTACTACTAATTTTGATGATTGCATGCAAATCCGTAACTGCATTTATAGTGGCTAAGAAGATCTTTAATTTATGAGTTCAATTTATATATGAGGAGAAAAACTATCTGTTTTGAGTCAGGATAGCAGGATCCACATCACACACCTTTTCAAATAAATATACCACCCATTTCATAGGAAGAGGGACATTCTTGAAACCTTTTGATATTGAATTACTTTCTAGTGGAAAACAGACAAAACAAAACCAACAACAAAACAAAGTAAAAGAATTATTTTCAGGTATATCAGCAGCTGAATATGCAAGCTTCATGTCCAACTGAGTTTGCAGAAGAAAAAAAAATACAGCTAAGACACTAAACTAAAGTAAACAGAGAAGTAATTAAGAAAACAAAAGCAAAAGATAGAAATAAGAATCCTGTAAGGTAGTGTCATGCTCAAGATTGCTATCCTATATTACTAAAACATGGTTGTTAAGCAAAATCTTTGGCCTCTAAGCTGACAAACACTTCAGGAATGTGCAATCCATGGGAAGAAAAGGAAGAGAGAGAGGACACAGAAACTAACTTTAAAGAAGTTCAGAGAGTTGACTTAGGTTTTTATTTTCAGACCACTTAGTTTGAATATGCTTGAAGAGCAAAGGACATGATATTTTGTAACTTAAAGGAAGACATGAGACAATATTTATCGATCACTGAGTACCTGTGACTACAAGATAACTGAAAGGAATAATTCGATAACCGGTCTCAAGCATTAGTCTGTGAAAGACAGAAAAATTAGTGAATGTGAAGGGAGAACAATATTCTATGTTCCTGTAACACTTCATCTATATTTGATGTCCTAGAAAGTTATTTCCTTGTCAATTAGTTGGTCATTTAATTTTTTTCTCTTCTTTCATATATAAGAATTACTCTCTTATTCTCCAGGAACACACAAAAACATTCAACACAAAGGACAAAAAGCATGTGGAGGAGCTGTGCAAAAATCATATAAAACATCATTAAACTTGAGGTACAATTCAGTTTTTCAAAATATTTAAGATTTGATTAATTAAAATGTGTGATATTATGTATGCCTCTGTACCTAATAAAACAGCTCAGAATACAATAGTGAGGTGCTGACTCCCATTTGCATATGCAACACTCTTCAACTGACACAGAAAAAAGATGGAACTTTCAGGAAAGCCTGGGCTGCATTCAGGTTGAGCACCAACTCTGATTGCAGTAGAGACCTTGAATAATGTAACCGTTTCTAAGGAAAAGCCATGAATAAAGAACAATCAGTCTCCATTACCCCTAAGAGCAAGGAGAAGACCTGGGACATGCAGGGCTAGGACAGGACCCACCTGAGCCAGCCTCCACAGAAGCCAAGTTAGGGGCCTGGGACTTAACCAGGACTGCCCAAAAATGGAAAACTGTAGCATTGACCAGCTCCTTACAAGCTCCAGACAATTAGAAAGTAACAAGATTGCCACTTGCTTCAGCCAATCATAACTAAAATGACCTAACTTCTTAGGCACTCTCCTCAGTAAGGCTTAAAAGAGGCCTTCATCTTCTTCTCAGTTTGGTCAGTCCCAGCATGTTGGTCTAATAATAATAATAAAAAAAGACTCTTTGCTTTTGAATTGAATATGATCCTTTGGTGGTCTTTGGGAGTCACTTTCTTTAACGAAAAATTTAAGTCCTTCTTTATATTGAATGTAAACATGACATTTGTAGTATTTAATTTTGACAAACATCTAATCTACTTAAACTATTTGATTTAAAGCACAACAGAAAATCAGAAAAAAAATGTTGTGAAAAATAATTGATATAACAAAGTTATAAAAAGATGACAGCAAAGTAAAAAAAAATCAAAAGAAAAATACCTAAAACCCCAGTAATTACAAAAAAAGAAGAATTGAAAAAGAAGTAAAGAGAAAAAAAATCATTTAAAAAGTGTATGTAGTATGTTTAAATAGAGGTAATCATAAAATAATACAGTAAAATAAAAATGGTAAATCTTTCTCCATGCATACATGTCCCAAATGATTCCCCAGAAACCAGATACTATTATGGGAATTATTATTTTTTAAATCTGCAGTTATCCTTTTACAAGTTATTTCTAGACATTTAGTTTTCAGTTAACTTGGTATTAATTTACATTAAGATAACATATTATATTCTAGAATATCCCACATTTAATAAATTGTTTGGTGTTTTGGAGATACTGGGGAGTCCTCATTGAGCCTCCATGGGACTGAGCTAGGAATTCTGTATGTGGGAGACACTTGTGTAGCTTGGTCTAAGAGGCCCCTGACAGTAGGACCAGGATCTATCCCCTGTGCATGAGCTGGCTTGTGGGAGCTCAGTCCCTATAAGGAGTTGCCATGCTCAGCCTTAATGCAGCCAGGAGGTCCTTGGTGCTGTCCCAAATTATTGAGCCAGGCTTTGTTGACTCCTCAATGGAGTCTTTACAATTTAGAAGCAGTGAATGAAGGATGGGATTCGATGAAACAAGAGAGGCCAGAAGAGGGTAAGGGAGAATGGTGATTGGAATGTAATGAAATTAAATTAAATAAATGACAGGAAAAAATCAAATAGTTAAATCAAGTATATTAGTTTTTTGTCAAAATTAAATAATGCAAATGTCTTGTGTGTATATTCCATATAAGCAAAGAGTTAAAATTTTTGGTTAAATACAATGATAATTTTACCAGTAAATATTTAGAAAACTTGACAAAGTGATCTCAATGTCTATAATCAAATATATTCAGTATAGATCCATAATATTCATAATATTGACATAAATATTGAATCTAAAGAAGACTAAATTACTAGAAAATTGTATAAAAAATTACAGCTCTATTTCTGAAAAAAAATGCCATGATGAAGCTAGAGCCACTCAACACAATAGATTATTTTTGACTCAAATCTTTTTATAAGCTATTATAATTTAACTTTATATTAATATAGGTAAAGAAGATTAAAGAACATATTATGTTTGGTATTATGCTGATGACATAAAACATTTAGCTTAACAGAACATATAAACCTCTCTTCAATTTCTACTTAATAGTTTGAATTTAATATAATGTTTCTATAGTTTTAGAAAAGTAAATAACAAACTTGAATAAATTCTCCTTCCATGGTTTATATTACATTCTTCAAAACACTCACTAAGCAACTTCCTATTTTAATTAAAATATTATAAAATATTATTTCACTGAATATATGTCTTTAAATAATGCAAACATAATGATTGTCATTTGAGATGAATAATATAGATCATAAATAACTCAATATTTGATATTGGAAAGTCATTAGCTAATATTCTATATGAGTACATAAAACTGAAAAAGTATATTATCAAAACTAATCATGTAGAATGACATGATTTTTTAATATGTACTTACATTAAATACATGAATCTTTTCATTTCATTTTTTTCCATATATGTTTATGTATTTACTTGCCATGAAATGCAAGTGGAGCTCAGAGAACAATTATCTGAAGTCAGTTGTCTTTTCCAAAATTTTAGAGCCAGAGATTGAACTTGGGTCATTAGGCCTAGCAACTAAGTGCCTTTGCATACTGATCCATTTCATTTCGAATTCTGTTAGTTAACTGAGTATTATTTCGCAAAATAGTCTATCTAAAACTCTACATGTTTCACCAACATGACAGCCAAAACAAGTGCTTAACATAGGCATTAGCAATAAACATGCAAATGTGGATAGGAGTGGCACAGGAGTCAAAAGTCATCAATGCTACACAAAGACTCTAAAGATAATTATTTATTCCACATGCAAATATATTCATATATGTAAATATGTTCATGTATATGTATGAGATTTATTACAATGGCTGACACTATTCAACTGTTCCAACAATGAGTGTCTACTGACAGAAAGTTCAAGAATCTACTAGTTGTTGATTCCACAAGGCTGGATATCATAGAAGGTCTTCAGTACGTACCAGTGAATGAATGAACTTGTAAGCAAGAGTGCTCTGGCAAGCATGCAAGAGACACAAGCTTTGGTCTTCCCCATCCAATATTATCTTTGCTAAAAGAAGTGTTCCCCAGATTTTAGGTGTCATTTCCAATTCAAAGAACCCAATTAAGAGAATATCCATCCCATGTGTATCCAGCATCTAGGGTTTCATTTAATTCCAGGACTACAACTCTATATAATAGAGCTTGAAGTCAGGGATGGTGATGCCTGTGGAAGTTCTTTTATTGTACAGAGGTGTTTTGGCTATCCTGGGTCTTTTGTTTGTCCATATAAAGTTGAGACTTGTTCTTCCAAGGTCTGTGAAGAATTGTGCTGGTATTTTGATGGGGATTGCATTGAATATGTAAATTGCTTTTGGAAAGATTGCCATTTTTACTATGTTGATCCTACCTATCCAAGAACATGGGAGATCTTTCCATTTTCTGGTATCTTCTTTAATTTCTTTCTTTAAAGACTCAAAGTTCTTGTAATACAGGTTTTTCACTTGTTTGGTTAGTGTTATTCCAAGATATTTTATGTTGTTTGTGGCAATCATAAAAGTTGATGTTTCTCTGATTTTTTTCACAGCCCATTTATCATCTTCTGTATATAGTAGGGCTACTTTTGTTGTTGGTGTTGTTAATCTTGTACCCTGCCACTTGGCTGAAGGTATTTATCAGCTGTAGGAATTCCCTTGTAGAGTTTTCCATGTCACTTATGTAGACTATCATATCATCTGCAAATAGTGAAAGTCTGAATTCTTTTCCAATTTCTATCCACTTGATCTCCTTTTGTTGTCATATTGATCTAGCTAGAACTTCAAGAGCAATATTGAAGAGATATGGAGAGAGTGGACAGCATTTTCTTCTTCCTCATTTTAGAGGAATTAAGTTGAGTTTCTCTCCATTTAGTTTGAAGTTGCCTGTTTGTTTGCTGTACATTGCTTTCATTGTGTTTATGTAAGTTCCTGTTATCCCTGATCTCTCCAAGACCTTTATCATGAAGGCGTGTTGGATTTTGTTAAGGGCATTTTCAGCATCTAGTGAGAGGATCATGTGATTTTTTCTTTCCCATTTTGTTTATATGGTGGATTAGACTGACGAATTTTTGTATGTTGAACCATCCCTGAATCCCTGGGATGAAGCCTTCTTGATCAGATGCAGTGAAGCTAATAATCAATAATATCAATCACAAACAAAATAAGGTTCAAATACTGTACAATGGTATGTGAAATCAGCATTATTTTATAGGAGAAAACTAATCTTACCTAGACTGACAAAATAAAGAATGATACAAGCTTTAGCACAAGTATAGAAAATATGAGGCAGACATTTAATGGTTGATGAAAAATGGATTAAAAATGTTGCCTAGATTATGCTTGCCCTCTCGCAATAATGTTCAATTAGTCATTAGATTCTCTTACCATTAATGTATTAAATGTTATCTACTATGTTTGCATTACTAAATTGTTTTTAAGTACTGCCCATTGATTTTTTTTAACCTTTAAATTATTTTATTATTTTTTCCACCGTGGCTTAATAATATTTGTAAGTCCCATACAACCAAAAATATTCTTGGTCATACATCTCTATTTTCTTTTCCTATTATGTTCAATTTATTCCACAGTGCTTTTTCATAAAAATGTACTTGCTTACAAGCATTCAGAATGTTAACAAGTAGCTGCGTTTTTTTTGTTATTTGTTTGTTTTTTTTTTTGCTTGTTTTTTTTTTTTTGCAATTACAGAGTGGTATGCAGTTAAGAGAAAAACAATTATTTTTGAATTATTTTTGTATAAGCTGTATCAGACACAAGTGAAGATGAAAAAAAACAAAAAAAACAAAACCACCATCTCCATATATAACTAATTTGTGCTGTGCACCAAGAACCTGCTTTAAATTTCCATGCCAATTTACAACCCCCAAACTACCAGGAAAAGTTAGTGGCTATTAAAAATACCACCAGAACAGTGCAATCTAAAGAAACATTCAGTAGTGTGTTAATTATACAATAAAAAAGACACTATACAGTTTAAATACA